CTGCATCCTAAGAAAATAAGCAAATTATTAAAATTCCACAAGGAACATGTGCTTTCCTTCAGGTTAACCAGCCAATATTTGTGGAGGGTCCACTGTAAGGGAGGTGCTCTGCTTTGCTGTCTTGAGCCCAGTAGAGGCTGCTGGCCGACTTTTACTATTCGCGACACCAGGGCTTCTCAAACTTTAATAATGTAGTCTACTCTTTCAAAGTATAAAAACAAGTTCATGACCTCTCAGGTTGTTATTTTATGATAGTGTTAATTTAAATGTAAAAACAAATGGCACAAAACTCCTAAAAATCTTAAACCATTACTAAAAAGAAAGTTTTACAAATTAAGCGTAAACAAAACTACAAAATAAGCTTTCTTCAAATACCTGACTCCAATTTAATAGAATGGATAGAACTGACTAAAGCTAAGTAAGATATTGGGTTTAATAGTAAAAAGGTCTAACCTCAGATTTCTATAATTTAGTATGCTTCTGAATTTGATTTTGATGAAAATAACATAACGAATATCTTTTCTGTGTAGGTTGTACAAACCATTATTAATCCTGTAAGGTTTTGTTTTTCACCTCAGAGTAATAAAGCTTAAAGCTATCAGAGAAATTCACTAATGTCCATTTTAATGGCATGCCATTTGATAATCATTTAAAGCTCTCTCTGTTTACTCGGAGATGAAATTAGCATTGCGGCAAAGGTTTGTACATCCGTAATCCAGTAAAAGCGAAATTTGGGAACTGAGAAGTGTTTCACGACGGATTTTCTATTACACTCACTGCTAATGGTCGATGCGAGTTGAACCATGCAAACATAGCATCTGAGCCTTATGTTCATTTGCTCCTTGAATATGGCTGCTGACTGCTCTTCTTTTGTTTTATCATGTGTGCTGTGTGCCATGTGTAATGATCAGATTCTCTGATCATTCTCTGACCCACAGCAAAACGTTTTGCATATCATGCATCTATGTGTCATCTCTACTTCATTTGTTATGCACTGAATTATAAGCACAAAGGCTTATACCAAAATTACATGGTCATACTCTTTGAAGGGTAGCCAACTAGATGCTTATATTTTTGTTAGATTATTATTGAAATGTAAGCACAGAATTAAAAAAAAAAAAATCTTGTGGCAAACTCCTGGACAGCTGTGAATATGCCTCCGGACTCTGGGGAAGTACTTCTTTAGGATACAGTGTGGCTTTGTGAATGCACATTCCTCTTGCCTCTCATGTCCACCCTGCTGGGGGCCAAGAAAGTATTCTGTTTTTCTAACATTCAGATACAAAAAATGTACAGAACTGTGTCAAGAGGAATTTTAAAGGAAATTTTTCTTTCTTGGCTTGAGATGCCACACCAGGGTTGTAACAGGGGCAAGTTTTAATGACATCCATCTGTTGCAGATGAAAATAAGTGGGGCTCAGCATTTGAATTCCTTGTCCAGAATCAGACTTTATAGGCATGAGTAAAATTGGTTTTAGGATTTGGGAGTCCTAGGGACATAAAGCAGCAGAGCAGAAAGAGGTTAGTTTTACATTTGTTGGAAACTTTCCCCCAAGGAGCTGCTATTGCCTGATTTTCTCTTTATTGAGCTGTTATGTGTGAAATCTTCTGGTTGAACCAGGGGACAACAATCTATTTTGAAAGCATACTTCCCCCGTACTTACACTTAATTTGGAAATAATTACTTTTGTCATACTCAGAGGGAAACACGGTATGGTAAAAGTTGCTGCATCTCTCACAGTGCATGAGTCCCTGAATCCTCTTTCATCTCTGTGTTGATTGAAGGTAACCAGACTGACTACTGTTTATCTTAAGCTCTTGTGTCAAGTGCTTTAATCACAGATTGACCTCATTGTAACGGATGGTAGGCCTGTGTCTATGTGGAAGTGGGAAAAGAATATATATTTCCATGTAGGTCTATACTTTTCACCTAAAAGGATGTCAATATCTATACATAAAATTGGAAATCTCATTTTAATTTTGTTCTTGAAACCCATGTTCTGGAACTGTTTTCTAATAACACTTTCATTTATTTGCATTTGCAAAATGCATTTATAATGCATTTTCTCACTTCAGGAGAACCAAATTTTTTAACAGGTTCTAAAAGAATCCAACTTATAGCAAAGGCTACCATGACTCACTGTTGGAGAGGTCCCTGGTGGGATGGCTCAGATGTTGCCTTTCCATTGGGTCTAGACCCTCCAGAACACTGGGAAGATATTTTGCTAAAATTCCAGGGTTTGGATGCAAGTCTTTGACTTGCACCTACATTTTAGAACTTTGCTTCAGAAAAGAGAAAACCAGCTATGAAAACCAGTTATGTAACAGCAAAAGCAATCTTCCATGTCATGCCCAGTCCCTAAAGAAGGTTCTAAGAGGGTTTATTGGGCACTCCTCAGTGACGCCTCCAGCTCCCTTCAGACCAACATCTTCCTTTAGGCTCTTGCAGTCATGTCTGCATGTGTTTCTTCAACCCTTCCGGATCAGGTGCTCCCTCTAGCTCTACTTATTCACGGCATTCTTTTTTTTACAGGAATGATAGGGCACCCTGATCTTAGTTCCTGAGCTTAATCAGATTAGGCATGTAGACAGAGATAGTCAACTGGCTTTTTAATGCAATGTGTGCTTTACCACCTCTTTTCCTTGTTCTCAAATGATTATGTTTTTAAGTAGTTTTTCTCAAGCCACCTCATACTTTTTCTAGGTGTATAGATGGTTGAGAGATGTGGGGACAGGGATGTCAGCCAGGAATTCTCTCTCCAGCTGAGTATTTAGCAAGTGCCATGATTTACATATACAAATATGTAGACCAAGGGCATAACAGTGATTCTCACAACTGAAACAAACCTATAGCTCCTAGGCTAGGTATCCGTAGTAACATCTGCTTTGATGCTTTGGGGGGGGGGGGTGAGATAGAGCCGCAGTTAAGACTAGCTCTAGGCTGATAAACATAAGCTAAATCTTGGGTCTTCCACTGAATAATTGTGTGGCCTTGGAAACCTTCTAATCCTCTTTCCTCACTTATTAAATGAGCATCATAATAATAGTTTCTCTCTCATAGTATTATTGTGAAGATTAAGGATATAATACATCTGGCTGAACCCCCTAGCTCTGTGCCTGACCCCCAGTGAGCGATAAATGTTAACTATAATTATTAAGTCTCATGTACAACATGGCAGTAGTTTCTAGGCATAATCTTTAATATAATATATAACATATAGCACATAGATTTATTTTTTAAAACTATGTATGGCAAATAATGTCATACTTCCTACCTGTGCCCAAATATTATTTAATTTTAGTTGTTTTACAGTAAATAATGTTTCCTGTGAGGTCTTGACAGAATATAATGCCTAGCATTATCTTTCCCTTTTAAGTGCTGTGGCAAGAAACCCGAGGTGGAAAATCTTCCTGGAGTTTAGAATTTGCCACAAACCACAAAATAATTTCATAGAGTAGGCATTTTAAAATGAGTCACAACTCAGTCACTGCAGCATTGCAGATATACTTAGGGCACCCGGCCATGGGCACGGCTCTCAGGAGGGGCGAAGAGTGAGGCATGGCGGCCGTGCAGGGAGGGAAGAATGGTCGGATAGCAGCCAGACCGTGATCCACTTCTACAGCATCAGGGCATGAATTCCAGATGTACAGATTTCAGTCATACCTTTCCACTCTTCATACATTAACTGTCTGATTTGTAAATATATGTCATTATGGTATTTGGGTTAAATGTGAGGTAATTTGGTCCTACGGCTTTCCGTCTTCTCATGTGTAAATCATTTTAACAATATGCAAATAATTCCCAATTTGAGACTCCCAGAGAAAATACTTCCATTTCTATCCCTGTACATCATCACCAGTCATAATAAATAGGTCTGAAAGAGTGTGCCAAGAGGCCCTGCCAAACACATTCTTCGAGGGGGAGAGGCAGGGGAGCCTACCAGGGAGACGTGCTGGATTATGAGCTTTCACAACTGTGTCTCACTTCCTAGTAGGTCAGTGACATCCCATTTCATGTTACCACATTTCATGTTCTCTTTAGTCAGATACTATACCACAAGAAGAATTATAAAGTTACATCAGTGTCTTGGAACCTACAAAGTTTATCATTGTTATTGGGTTAAGATTCGAAAGTTAGGCTTTGCAGGCAAGCTAGAGCGGCCGGGGGACTGTAGCTTCACCTCAGAAGCAGCTCTCCTCTGGATGTTCTGTGGGGACAATTCAGCTGTTTCTTCCAGGATCAGATGTTGAGAGGCTCTGGGGGGAAGAAGAGGAGTTAAAAAGCAGCCTCCATTATGACTGCTTATCTTTACCAAGGGATTTTAGTCTGGTATTGTGTCAGCTGGGTTAAATTTAATCTTGTTTTTCCAAAATCACTGGGATCACAAAATTTGCATTGGCCCAGTCCATCCATACCTGCCAACTAGTGCTCTCCTCTTTCCTCAAAGCATCCTCGGAGCTTTCTGTTTTTCCCTTGTAATGAGGACAGATGACTGCCAAGTGACCCATACTCAGCATTCTCCCTCAGACTCATCTGAGAAACCAAACAGTAAAGGAAAAAGGAGAAAAAAAGAAGCCCAGTCCCTTTAATTTCTTTTACGTTTCAGATTCCTTTTTGGCTTGACATTAAGCTCATTATAAGGTCACAAGCATCTTGAAGCGAAAATGAATGGGTCACAGTGGATTTGGGAGTAGTGTAAATTCATCTTCAAATGTGGTTAAAGATTGAGAATAAAGCAGGAACAATTTTTATATTAAGAGTTCTTTTACACTCTTTAATATAGCAGGACGTGTTTCCTGTTGACTTTAAACAACTCTCTAGAAATACTACGAAGTTGCTACCTTATCCTCTGAATTATTCTTCAGTGTTTTAAACTCAATATTGGAGTGTTTTGCAACCAAAGCTTTTCTTACTTGCAGTGTAAACATTTCTGTCTTTGATATGTTTTTATTTAACAATAATTCACTGGAGGTCTTTTTTTTTTTTTTCCCCCTCACAGTCTGACAGCAATGCGAGCTTTCTCCGTGCTGCCAGAGCAGGCAACCTGGACAAAGTAGTGGAATATCTGAAGGGGGGCATAGACATCAATACGTGCAATCAGGTAAGGGCATGCCTCTGTGCACAATGAAGAAACACTCATTGTCTATAGATATATGCCAGTAGCCCCGGGTTATTTTTTGTCTATTGAATTTACTAAAATATCAGTGATTCAGACTTATGAAAGTCCATTTTCATCCCCTTACCAACTTTTGAAGCCTCAGGCATTTGTATCTAGACCTACTATTGCAGCAAAGTAGATAGATCAAAAATAACCAAATGTCAGTTTTGTCTGGGAAATGATCTGGACTGCTCTTAGTGGGAATATTGACCAAAAATAATGCTTTATTTCTCATTTATCATAAACTAGTTGTCCAGACTCTGGTTTCTTTTCTTCTCTGCCATATGCGTTTTACTAATGGACAACTGACTGTTAAAATTTGGGATAAAGAAATAAGAGAAAAGGGATGCCTGGGTAGCTCAGTCGGTGAAGCATCTGACTCTTGATTTCAGCTCAGGTCATGATCTTTGGGGTTGTGAGATGTAGCCCCGCATCAGGCTCCACCCTCAGCATGGAGCCTGCTTAAGATCCTCTCCCTCTCCCTCTGCCCCCCTTCTCCATCCCACTCACATGCATGTGTGCTCTCTCTCTCTCTCAAAAAAAGAAATGACAGAATAAAATAAAAATTATTTCCTCCCTTCTCCCTAATTAGTTTTAAAAAAATGGATTAGAATGAGAAGAGTTTTAAACTGTTAGCTTAAATGAAGTGTTTGGATTATTCATTCATCATATTCATTCAATAAGGACTCTAGATGATATTATACATCTTAGATATTATTTGGTTTCATGGATGTTGAGATTTTGTGTTATTTTTGACTAAGATTTTTATGCCATGAATAAAGTATCTAGTAGACTTCAGTGTTCACTACAGTGTGGTGAATGTTGGTGGTGCGTGCGTGTGTGTGTGTGTGTGTTTGACAGAGCTGACTGGGAAGTGAAAAGTCCTGGCTAATTTTAAGTTAACAGAAAGTAAATGATACTCAATTCTTATCTGCTTCATAGACTAACCTAACTTCTTGAGTTACTTCAAAAAGTTTTTAGCGCCTAACATATTTTTTCTTATATTGGCCAACTGTCTACTAACATGTTGCTATAAAAGGGAAAAACATTTATTTTTGTAAAAAGGTTACACAGTGTCATGAAACTACCCAAAACTTAAAGCCCAGACTGAAATTGAAATTCCATCTCCACTTTTATCAAGTCATTTCAATTCAGAAAGTGACACTTTTCTAATCTCTAAAACAAGTATATTCAATCTTATGTCACTGGGTTGCAAAGTAAATTATGAAATTTTGGAAAGGAATAAGGTGTACATTTTCTAATTGTAATTACTATATAGAATTCACCAAGAATCAGAAAAATTAAAATTGACCTCCATACAGCATATGAGATCGAGTCTCCTCAATCGCCTGAATTTACTAGGTATAAAGTTAAGGGTTGTTGTCTGGTGTTGATCTTTATTATTATTCAAGAATGTACAGTAAATAGAGATTAGAGAAATAAAGTAACTAATGTTAACTAGCCACTGTGTATCAGGCTTTCTGCTGGGGGCTTTACATGTGATGTTTCATCAATCAGCAGAGACAAATATTATAAAGTAGGCACTTGCTGGAATTTACAAATGCAGAAACAGAGCCTGCAAGTGGTTAAGTGATGTTCTCAGGGTCACACAGATCTGTCTCTCTCCCATGTACAAGTGTTTTCTACTGCAGGAATGTTCCTGAGATATTGGGATCCTCCCTTCAGAGTGTACAGTGTGGTTTCCTTTAACTTGAAGCTCAAATCTTTTTTAATCTACCATTGTTAATGTAAAAAGAACTTGATTCATTCTTAAATTAACATAATAGAAGTTGAAATAAACTTTATTTTTTATTTTTTTGAAGATTTGTTTATTTACTTATTTGAGAGAGAGAGAGAAAACACAAGTGGGGGGAGGGGCAGAGGGAGAGAATCCTCAAGCAGACTCCCTGCTGAACAAGGAGTCCAATGCTGGGCTTGATCTCATGATCCATGAAATCATGACCTGAGCTGAAACCAAGAGCCAGCCATCAAACAACTGAGCCACCCGGGTGCCCCATAGTTAAAAGAACTTTTAAGTCAAAGAGCACCACTACCAGGATTACGACTAAAACTCAAATAAAATATAGAACAGAAAATAATGTCCAAACACCTAGGAAGGCAAAGGGGGCAACTCTGTAGCCAAAATACTGCTATATCTAAATATGTAAAATTTCAAAGCTAATAAGGCATATGAAGGAAGAGAAGAAAAAGTGTCCATTATTTTGCTAGTAAGCGTGGGTTTCTGGGGAGCATCATAACATGTAACATAGAAACCAGGACTTTCTGTACCCTGCTATATTTCTCAATGAAAGGCAATCTGGGCTGCACCAACTTTCCAAAAATATCACGTGTGTTGGCGTTCTAAGTAAAATTTGGATGAAAATTTTTTTCTTTATAAAATTTTTCTCATAACTACCATGAGAATTTTGAAACTTAATCCAAAAATACAACTTGGCTTTTCATCATTTAAAGGATATGAGAAGAATTCATAATTTTGGCACACAACAATTTTCTTAAAAAAAAACAAATTCAAATCTTCATTTTTCTTTTCCGAATGGTTACAGATCTCTTAACTTCTGTTTTCTTTAAAAGATTAAACTAGTAATTTATTTTATTATCTCTTGTACACTCAGAAAAGAGAATAAATCTTAGCATTTGCTCCCTATCTGAAACTCATGTATACTTAATGCTTTTCTTCTTTTAGTAACTGTTACCAGTCTAATAATGTTATAAACAAGGTTAACATCCAGACATTAAAAATAGACTCTATAACCTTTTCATAAAAAATTTATAGCCAGTTAAAGTCAGTAAAAGGCTTAGAAGATTCAGGTACTTTTACCATGTATAAAATTTATTGGTTTCACTGCAGTGACTTCAAAATAAAGTAGATTACTTATCATTTATTGGCCATACTCCTAGATATAACACTGAAAGTTAACAGTTTTTAACGTGTCCTGATTTTTGGTCTTGACCCTTTACTACTGAGGTGTAAAAGTCCAAAATTATCAGTTAGATCCTGTGCTTCCTCTCTCAGAAACAGAAGGCAAGGTCAAAGCACCATTTTCAAAATAATGTTAATGTTCCTAAAATATCAGCCTTTACCAACAAGAAGGTACACCCAACAATGACTTTGTCATATGTTCACATAGTTATGACTCAGACCACAAAGCATTTTTGGAAATCACTTTAAGAATGTGAGTGCTGGAACCCAAATTCTCATTTTATCCACTTACCAGCTATGTGACTCTGGGCATTCAGTTTTTCCAGGACTTAGTTTTCTCAACTGTAAAATAGTGATCATAACAATACTGGAGTCATAGGATTGTTATGATCATTACATGAGATGTTTGCAAAACGCTTAGGAAACTGCACATTCAATAAATAGTAGCAAATGATAATCCCTATTATAATAATAGGTGGTGCTGGTTCTCATAGGCAGAACAGATCATAAAAGGTATTCTCATAGCTTGTGTCATCAAATAGGAAAGGTCACATTTAATAGCAATTTGGTGACAGTTTCTTTTTATCTGGGTTAAATTAAGCTAAATTTTTTTTTTCCTGGTACTAAAATCTTTTTTACCAATGCCATTTGGATCCATCCAGTCTGGACCTCTCTTTAAAAATACCAAAACCAATTATATTAGCCTGGGAATTTATAAAGGAAACGAAGATGAATATTTGAGAATTAAACTCCTATAATTAATGGACTATGGAATGAACTATATCCAGTTTCCTAACCAGTTAAATGGGGCACAAATATATCCGCAAATAATATTGTCACATATTTATCATTTGACTTCTCATTTAGAAGAAGCAAATGGTGGTGTATCTGTCTGGTTCTGGTTATATGTGCCCTTTTGTTTCTGGATTCTGTATTATTCTCTAATTCTCTTTGGTGCATTAATACAGGTCCTTGCTCTATACTGAGTAGTGCCGATTCAGACTGGATTTGAATAATGTCTGCCTAGTATTTTGAGTGCTTAGAATTTTTAGTTTCTTTTTTTTTAAGATTTTATTTATTTATTTTTTTAGAGAGAGATTGAGAGTGAGAGAAGGGGGTGGGGGGAACAGAGGGGGAGACAATGAGAATCTCAAGCAAACTCTGAGCTGAGCAAGGACCCCAATGCGGGGCTCAATCCCACGACCCTGAGATCATAACCCAAGTCGAAACCAAGAGTCAGATGCTCAACTGACTAGCCACCCAAGCACCCCAGAATTTTCAGTTTCAATGTTGATAGCTGTTCAATGCAAAGTAATTCCAGTAAAGACTTTTCATCAGCTACTTGTCCATAACTCTAAAAAGTTTTGTCTCACAGATTTAGGAAGAGGTTTGAAGTGCAACTCTTATTTCATTTAAAAAATGCCAGGGTTAGCTTCTTGCAAAGTATTTCTGTGATTGTCTTCTTAAGTACTCTGCTGCAGTGGTTTAGATGAAAACAGAACAATTTCTGCTCTGGGAATTCTCTTGAATGCTCTTTTCTATGACTAAAAGACATGGATTTTTTTTAAAGATTTTATTTATTTATTTATTTGACAGAGAGAGAGAAGCAGCAGAGGGAGAGGGAGAAGCAGACTCCCCACTGAACAGGGAGCCCAATGCAGGACTCGATCCCAGGATCCTGGGATCATGACCTGAGCAGGCAGACACTTAACTGACTGAGCCACCCAGGCGCCCCAAAGACATGGGTTTTAGTACATAACTCCAGGAGCCCCTCCACTCTCCCTAATTCATCTCAGATATTATAATCACATTATAATCACATTCTTTCTGCCAATCTGAACTCAGGCTCACCATTTGTTCATCTATTTATTCAAACATGTAATGTGTGTTTGCTGTATGAAAGCAGAGACAAAAACCCCCTCTGGTATAGCTTAGAATCTACAGCATGAAAAGAGAGAGATAATCACCAAGCAAAAAAGTAAAATATGTGAAAGGAGAGACT